GATAATAAAAACTACTAATCCTACTTTTTTCTATAAATTCAAAAATGATAAAAGAACTCTACACTAACAAATTGAAAACAATAAACTCACTTTCTTAGCCAAACTAAAAAATAAATAAATATTGCTTTTACAAATTAAAACAATTGCTCAAACTACAAAATTACATGAATGGAAAAAAAAAACTTCATGAATTTGCTAATTGTAGATATCTTTTGCTCAATGGATTAATTTTTATCATTATCTAAAATATACTGAACATAAAAACGAAAATAAGAATTTTGTAGATGTAGTACTCATATACATAGTACTCAAAAGGGATTAAGACTTACAAAAAAAATTAAAGGATAATTAAATTATAAATAACAAAATATTACATCAATTTATAGTATGGTTTTTAATTATTGAAAAAATTAATTAGTGTTCTATTATTAATACACAAAATTTATTATTTGGATTATTAATTCTTGCAAAAGAAAGAAAATAAAAAGTTTTTTAGTAATAAAATAAATTTATAATATGGGTATTAATTATTGAATGAAGAAAATGAAATGTTTTATAATTTAATTTCTTCAAAATAGATAATTAAATAAAAATATTAAAAATCACACAATTCCATATCACCAACTAAGTTTCACAATATCATGTATCATGACACATAAGTAAATTTAGTTGAGTTTTTCACCAACTAAGTTTTCACAATATCATGTATCATGACACATAAGTAAAAATTTTGTTTGAGTTTATATATATATATATATATATATATATATATATATATATATATATATTATTTATTCTGGAACAAAATATTATTCTGGAACAAACTAGTTAATTACCCTTTAGTTATTTATTTACCTGGAAACTTAACTTAATTATAAATTATTCGGAGTCTTTTTAGGATAAATTATAATTTCAATATCTAAACTTTTTGATTTTTGTTAATTTGGTATATGAAAAGAAAACGAATATGTGAACTTTTTAAAATTTTTCAATTAAGTGTTTCATGGTGAGTTGGAGCACCGAAAATCTGACTAGGACAAGTATGACCCCATTTTTCCACCGCCGGCAATTCCCGTGGACCTCCAACAAAGCAAATCACTGTTAACTCAGAGTAACTCCAACGGAATTGTAGATTGTGGCTCATATATTCAATAATCTGTTAAGTTGACGCGTAAAAAAAGAGTAGATATTATGTTGTTATTAGAGTATTAGCTAATGCTAATTGCTTGTTATGGCTGTTGATTTTGGTTTATGCAAGTGTTCATGTTATTGGTGGCTGGTTAAATTTGAGAACAAAGGAAATGTTGTTACCAGGATTGCGTCAAACAAGTTTGAGATGGAAGATTGCTTGAATCACGTGGGACCAAGTGAATTGTAGGGACTTGCTTTGTTCGAGGTCCACGTGAATTGCCAGCAGTGGAAAAATGGGGCCATACTCGTCCTAGTCAGATTTTCGGGGCTCCAACTCATCATGAAACACTTAATTGAAAATTATAAAAAGTTCCACATATTCAATTGCAAAGGTTTTCATTCATACAACAAATTAATAAAAATCAAAAAATTTTAGACACTAAAAGTTATAATTTATCCTTTTCATCATTATAATTGGAGGTTACCTATTTCTGATATTCTTCTGGAAGCTAATTTATGTGCTGAGTGATTAGCTGATTATGCTTTTTTATCTCATCATTTCATTCTTTCTGTTCTAAATACTCCTCTGAATGATATTCAATATTGATGGTATCACATGATGTTCTTGGTATGGCTTATTCTAAAGGGTTAGTAGCTAGCATTTGTATTCTTGTTTTTTTTTTTTTTTTTTTTTTTGTTTTTTTTTTTTTTTTTTTTTTTTTCTACCAAATTTTTTTTTTTTTTTTTTTTTTCTACCAAAGAAAAACTTCATTTATGGTTGTTACCTGGTACATGCACTTATCACCTAAGTTGCATAGACTCTAACACAGAACATGACATGGACACGGACATGGGAGACAATAATTTTCAAAAAAAATAGGACACTACACGAGCGCGCTATTCGTTATACTAAGAAAATATAATTTATTATAAAATTAAATATGTAAATAACTATCTATAATAAGTCATAAACATAAAAAAAATACTTAATTTTCTACTTCAACATCATTAATTAAATCATCAACAATAACATTCATTAAATATCATTGCTTCCATCTCCGATTCATCCAAAGATAAATTGGTGATTTCAAGAATTCTAACATCTTCATAAGAGTCAAATTAATCTCCCCTAACATCTGATATTTTTGTTTATTCAATATAATATTGTGGCTTCTTCTTAATAAAAGTCGAAGATTATTATGAATAAAATCAGTTTTTAAATTTGGCAATAAAATTATAATACCTTACACAATGGTTTAGGGTTTTTTTCTTCTTATTTGACGTAATTTTTTATTTTAAGTATATATATTTATCTAATTTATATTTATGACCTTAATTTAACATTTTTGTTAATAAATTTATCTAAAAGTTTTATATAATTTTTTACAAAAATCCTTGAAGTGTTCAAGAAGTATTATAGAAATGTCCAAAATTAATTAAATTAAAAAATAGTCGGATGCGTTTTTAAAGTGTCCGACATGTTTTTGGAGTGTTTGAAAAGTGTGAGTATTAGACACGGGTACGACACTGATATGCTAGACCTTTTAAGGTGTCTGCGCATCATAGCTTATCACTATATCATAGGTTGGCGTGTTGTAAAATTAATTTTTTAAAAGTTAATTACTTACAAAATTTTTTTTAGCCGAATGCATAAAATCCCCTGAACTTTCTCACTTTAACCATTTGTTACCTTAACTTTGCAAAGGACCTAATATGCACTTGAACTTTTAAATTTTATAACTATTATGCCCCTCACCAAGCTGTTAAGATAATGCATGAAACCAAATATGGAATGAAGCGTGATCAACTGATTAAAAGTCCACCATGGCAAAAATGAGGTTGTTTTTCTCTCTATTCCAAAGCATCACTCTTCCTATTTCAATCTCTCTCTTCATTTTTCTCTCTCTATTTCTATCCTTTTCGATCTTTCAATAGATATCTCTTCAGTTGTATTTCTTCTTTCTTCTTTTCAATTTTCTCATCTTCTTCTCCTTAATTTCTTTACAATAAAGTTTCTGAAATTTTGATTTTGGGTCTTTAAAATTCCTAAAATCAATGCAAATCTCTTCACCTAGCATCGATTTGATCAAAGATAAAGCTCATTCCGGTAAATAGAGGGGTTTTGAAGGTTTGAGAGAAACCTCGTATGAGAAAAAAAGATTTTATTATTGTTCTTCTTCTTCTTTAGAGTTTAATTTGGGAACTAATAATAATATGAAATCTTAAAATTGATTTGGGGTTTTGTTAATCTTAAATTGATATTGGGGTTTTGCTTTGGAAAATTCTCTTCTTCTTCTTCTTTCTTTTCTTGTAAAATCTTTTAACCGGTAGTTTTAAGATTTTTTTGTTTGCAGTATTTTGAAATTTATTAAAGGACATGATTTGTATTCATATAAAGAATTTTTTCTATAGAATTTATAATTCAATATTTCTTCTGTGTTTGGTGAGTTTGATTTTGGAACTAATAATAATAATCTAAAATCTTAAAATTGATTTGGGGTTTTGTTTTCAAAATCTCTGCTTTTCAATATCTTCAAAAGCAAAAGTTGGGAAAAGTTTAGATTATGTTGCTTGATTTGTTTGATTTTTTCCCTCCTATCAATTTAGAAATGCTCATTTAGATGTTTGTATTAGATGTGTACAATGACATTTCCTTTATCCATTCTATTGTTGGGTTGTTGGAGTAGAGTAGTTTTGGATTGTTTTTTTAGTACTTTCGACATTGATGAACAAAATTTAATTCATTTTTATTTTTATATTTTACATATGAGCACTATTTTATATTTCAGTGTGCGTGTAACAGATAAAAAATTTCAATGAAATTCTTAATTGCAAATAAGGGATATAATAATTATAAAATTTAAAAATTCAGATAGGTCGTCGGTAAAGTTAAGGAACAAATGAGTAAAATAAAAAAAGTTTAAGAGGAATTTTATATGTTTAGCTTTTTTTTTTTTTTTTTTTTTAGCTTTTTTTTTTTTATTTTTTTTTTTTTGGGGGGATAGGAGTTTTATTAAAATTAAGAAGGTTTGGTTTTTTTTTTTCAAAAAAAGTTTTTTTCGGTAGTTTTAGCCAGCGGTAATAAAATGGAGCAAACGTGTTAAGCATGATTAGCGTGACACTGGACAAACCAGGTTTTACTTGCGAAGCAAAAACCAAACACGAAAGCGCAGAGAACAGAACACCTAGGAAGAAGAAATGAGAGAAAAAACAAATACCTTAAATCGAAAAGTTCCTCTCTCAACTACGATAAAAAAAAAATATGGGATAATAAAACTGAACCTAAATAACTGGCAGAACCGGGCCTTCTCTAAGACTGGGGAAGAATCCTTGTACAAGCTCTCACTTCGGTCGCTCCTTCCTAACCCAAATTCAGGCTTCCTTTTCTTTTATCACCTCTTTTCGCAAAAATCCATTTATGTTTAAACGTTCAATCTGTAACTTTTTTTTTTTGGTAGAATGTGGACAATCCTTAAAGTCCGCCATCAAGCTTATGTCGAGGAACGACATTCATGGATTTAACTTGATTCCTAGCCGAGACTAATCGGTAAAGATCCAAATTCTTAGAGGATGCCCTGCGATTTGCTACAAGATCGTTTATCACGCATTAAAATGGTCACATAAGCTTTTTCCCACGGTGAGTGCATTTCCTTCCTTGTTCTGTCTTTTTGGGCATTTCCTATACTTTTAAACATTGTAACAGAAGAGCTATCCTCTTTTGTTATTAAGTAACTTATAATATTTGTTACATGTTTTGAATGGTTTTTTTTTTTTTTTTTTTTTTGGGGGGATTAGGATTTAAAATTAAAAGGTTTGGTTTTTTTTTTTTCAAAAAAAGTTTTTTCGGTAGTTTAGCAGCGGTAATAAAATGGAGCAAGTGTTAAGCATGATTAGCGTTGACACTGACAACAGGTTTACTTCGAAGCAAAACCCAAACACCAAAGCAGAGAAACAGAACCTAGGAAGAAGAAAATAGAGAAAAACAAATACCTATAAATCAAAATTCTCTCTCAAATAGAAAAAAAATATGGATAATAAAACTGAACCTAAAATAACTGCAAAACCGGCTTCTCTAAGATGGGGAATCCTTCGTCAAGCTCTCCTTCGTCGCTCTTCTACCCAAAATTCAGGTCCTTTCTTTTTATCACTTTCGCAAAAATCCATTTTGTTTAACGTAATTAACTTTTTTTTTTTTTGGTAGATGGACAATCCTTAAGTCCCATCAAGCTTATTTCGAGGAAGACAATTCATGGATTTAACTTGATTCCTAGCCAACTAATCGATAAAGATCCAAATTCTAGAGATGCCTGCATTTGCTACACGTTACCCATTAATGGGTCACCTAAGCTTTTCCTCACGTGAGTGCATTTCCTTTCTTGTTCTTTTTTGGGCATTTCTTCGAACACATTGTAAACAGAAAGCTACTCTTTTTTTATAATAACTTATAATATTGTTAATTTTTGAATGGAGTTTTGTAATGAATTGTTGTGGTTAGTTAAATGATATTTTTCCTATAAATATAATATTTTGGGTTCAAATATAACTGGGTTGAGTTTGTTTATTATTTATTTGGAAAACTAAACTACAGCTTTTCATTTGAGTTTGGGTGTTGTATGGAAATTCTTTTGCAGCCAAAGGATGAAAGTTGGTACTGATCTCAGTGATTTTGAAATGTCTAATAGATACAATATTGACAACACTGGGCTTGTCTGTAAGTTCTTCTCATTTCTTCAGTCTGTTTACTTTCTAAAAGGAGAGCTTTGATATAGGAGGTGTTTTGCATAATTATATGTTCTCTTATCATTTAATGGCTGAAGCAAAAATGAGATCTCTTTGGGTTATTGTTGTCCAATTTCCAGTGAGAAGTTAAGTTGGGATAATGGCGAGTAACAATTAAAATTTCATGATTTTCCAGCCATGGTTGCAGATTTTCATTTCAAGGGGCCTGTCCCCTATTTGTCTTGTTATTTACAGAACTTGATAAAACAATAGAGGCAGGAGACATTTGCACCTCATTCGCCATTTTTGAGCCCTTATATATTTTTGTTCTTGAAAAAAATACTTGGGTTTTTTTTTTTTTTTTTTTTTAAATAAAGCTTTCCTGCTGACATCTGGTTACGTAAAATAAATAGAATGCAAGATAAAAACCAGTAATGTGCTTTGCAATTCAGCCGTCACTCTTCCATCTAGCTCACCTCCTACAATCTAGCTTTTAACCGGCTGCCAATTCAAATATGTCTCTACCAATTTCTCTTCCTATATTTGCCTTCTAGTTTCTTTCTATTCTCTTTCCCAACTAGTTTGGGATTAAATCTTAGTTGTTGTTGGTTATTGTTCTTAATTCTACCCCTTTCTATCTTAACGCCAATATCTTAAAATGTAAGTCTTTATGTTGCTGATTTTTATTTTCCACTTTTTCTGATTTTTTATTATTCTTTTTTTTTTTTTTTGTTAATATCTTAAAATATAATTTTTAGATTTGTGTGTGTGTGTGTGTGTGTGTGTTTTTTTTTTTTTCATTTTTGCGTCTCACCTAACTTGGGCCTGCGCCTTTGCCTAAAGGTTAGCACCTAGGCTCCAGCAGCCCTTTGTGCCTTAGTGTGCTTGCGCCTTTAATTACTATGGAGGAAATGGAGATCAAAAATCAAGACGAAAACTTGATTTCACTATTGCCTCTGAAGTATTGGTTTTTGTTGAGGGTCTTAATTTTACTTGATTTTACCTTGCTTGGATTATTAGAAGGGATTCTGAGATCATTTAATAGTTTCAGAATTTTCAAATAAAATTGGATATTTGGGCATAGAAGTCGAACTAAACCAGGCCAAACCAAACCAAACCAAACCAGAATATTATTCTTTACTCTGGTTTTTAAATGGTTTTAAACAAAGCAGTGCATTTTTTCAGTTCTTCCATAACTATCAGGGTTTTATATAACTGGCTATTGTTAACAGAAAATTTTGTTTCCTTTGTATATATTAGCAGTTTTCTATAATGCAACTTACAATGTAAAACCATAAATTTCAACTCTTTCAAACATATTTTACCTTTTGTGAGTGGCAAATTAAATCAATCACCAAATTTGCATTGGTGGATTAATTGAGTAATGGTTACCGTTGACAGCAAACTTGTTCATTGTGAAGAGAGAGAGAGAGAAGTATGGCTACAAATTGAAATGTGGGCAATAATTTATTAAAATTTAAAATATTTCAAGTGGAGGTTGGAACTCACTTTTATTTTCTTTCCTTTGATAATTTGATTATAAGACAGCTATTTATTTGTGATGCTCTGTTTTCCACTCCTGCTATTGGTTCAATTTCTCTGGTGTTTGTGTGTTTCTACTAGCTCGTTAAATGCCATATCATAAGGGAAGTTGGCGTGCATCACTATCAACAACTCTTATTATGGTGTTAGAAATATCATAATAGAAGTTTCAAATTCAAATGGTTTTGGTCATCTTTGTTACTTTATTTCTTTGTGCTTACAATTTTAAACTGATCTTATTATATAGGTCACTGGCCTTCAGAAGATGTCCTTTCTTATTTTTGCTTGTCGCATGCAGATATGTTCAGGTTTGTAAAATAGGGTTATTCTGTACTTCAGGAGAAGTTCACTATGGAAAACATATGCTATAGTTCTATATTTCTTTTTCTCACTTTTCAACTCTTCAAGGTATCTAGTGTACTTATTTATGCCAATTCCTTGTTCAATTTTCTAGATCTAAAAGAGTTATTGAGCTTGGCTCAGGCTTTGGCTTAGCTGGATTAGTTATTGCTGCCACTACTGAGGCATTAGAAGTTGTAATCTCTGATGGAAATCCTCAAGTGGTTGATTGTATCCTTTTGATTTTCACATTTTATTGGCTAATATGTATTAGAATTTTATGATTTTTGTTAAATTTTTGTATGGGAAAAAAAAAAAAAAAACCAAACTTAAGTTTGCATCTTTGATTGATTAAAGAATTTATCAGCAATTTTTTCTCCTCCAATACATGTTTAAGCAAAGAAATGTACTGTACTCAATACTAGAAATTTAATTTATAAATTATGTATTGGATGTTGCATATGGCTATTGATTATGTGAAACATCAGTGTCCCAGCCTTTCACAATTTCTGGAGACTCCCTTCATTATTGTTAATGCCACTCATAGACTGCTGTTGCCTATACAAATAAAGTGATAATTGCTAGGGTTAGTTGGTGAGACATGGCATGAGACGTTTGGATATCTGTTTCTCAGAAGGATGCTGTCTTTCCACACTAGGGATTGTTGCTTGCTTATACCTGATTGATTTGGCTGATTTGACGAGATCCACGAGCAAAGATTTACATTTTTAGTGAATTAATGATCTAATTTTGAAGTGATTTCAAGATGTACCAAGAGGTTACTTGCAAAATATATACCTAAGCTCTTGAGTTGATTTTTTTCATTGTTCTAGTTCTATTCTTGATCTTTGAAAATATGCAGCCTATTGCATACTCCAATGAGAATGCTAAATTGTTTGTGACATATTAATGCCTCATTCAAATTTTCAGAGATTCTTAAGCTGTATTCTCATGTTGTTTGGCGTAAGAGTGAGAGATATTTTCTTTTTCTTTTCCTTCTCCTTCTTCTTCTTCTTCTTCTTCTTCTGCTTCTTCTTTATAAATATATATAAATATATACACTTTTCTCCCATAAGTATGATCTTAGATTATTTTAAACTGGAAGAGAAGTTACTTTGACAATAAGAATCATGACTTGAGTTATAGTTTTAAATATGCTTGTTTGTGGTGTTCTTGCTATGTCCTAAGGCGGTTATATCATTGTTATAGTGCTAAGTTTGTGCTCATACTTTCACAAATGCAACTTCAGTATATTGCTGGACTTTGGTTGGTTTTGCTGCACCACATAGTTTTCTGTTCCTTTTTTGGGCTTTGTAAATGTGTAGTGATGACAAGCACCACTCACTTTTTTAAAGTATCTCACATATTCATATTGGATGTACTTAACGTCCAGATATTCAGCGTAACATTGACGCTAACTCTGGAGCCTTTGGTACAACAGAAGTGAAGAGTATGACGTTGCACTGGGATCAGAAAGAAACTGCAAATATCTCTAACACCTTTGATATTATTGTTGCCAGTGATTGGTAAGTTCTGCTTCTTTTTAGCTTCCAACTAGATAAAGAAAGGCTCTGTAAAGTTTCTAGCACGAGGGTGGTACTCAAAATTGAACCAATTTTGGCATGTATGACTGTACATGACATGCCACATCCCCTTATCTAACTGTTGGCTTTAGCATTTCTCTTGATAAGTCTTGCAAATGAGTTCACAATCTGATTGGGTAAGGAAAATTTATGTCATTCGCATTCCTTAGTGGATTGAAGATGTCGCATTCTTGACGGTTCCAACAAAAGTTGACAAAAAGCACTTGTATCCAATAAATTATACAGAAACATGCAAACTAGTGCACTTGCACGTATTTTTTTCTTTTTTATGCTGAACTCTTCTTTTTTATTCAATAACATGTTATCCCATTTTTAACAGCACCTTTTTTAAGGAGTTCCACGAGGGCCTTGCTTGTACTGTCAAACTCTTGCTGAGAATTGCTGGGACCTCAGAAGCAATATTCTTCAGTCCTAAAAGAGGAGACTCATTGGATAAGTTTCTAGAGAAAATTGAAGAAAAAGGTCTGCGTTTTTGCATAACAGAAAATTATGATACAGAAGTTTGGATGCGCCATCAAGGATTCATGAATGGTAATAACTCATGGCCGAGCTATGAAAAAGATCACTGCTACCCATTATTGATCAGAGTTACATTATAAACTTTCCCACATTCCATTCACAATTAATACATATTTTATTCATGGAATTCATTTCCCACGAGAAACTTTCCATTGGTTGACAAAAAATTGTAGGCTTGAGGTGGTGAACCAGTTATTGATGGTAGGCAACAATTTACTTGCCTGCTGCAAGATTCTTAGTGTAGTCTAATCTCTTGGTGGGTCCCGTGATCACCAGAATTTCATTCCTCACCACAACATTGTGTAGGTCCCTTGCTGGTTTATGATTTAGCAAATGAAAAGGAAAGCTTGCTGATGCTTTCTTCTATTATTTTAATTTAATACGTATGATTTCTTTTTGAACTTATTAGCATAATAGGTCCAAGAAGCTTTTGAAAGGAGATTCCTTATCTTCATTTAGCATCTAAGTTACTTAAAGCATTTTATATGGCGGTCCACAAGTAAACAACGACCCTCCACCTAAAGGATGATTGAGAACATTGTCAAAAAGCTATCTGATGCTCTGTGGATCAAATAAACTAGCTTTTATTGGAGAGGAGATTTTTCTATTTGTGTTTCTAATGTAGCAAAACCGAACATGCCGTGTCCGCAGAAAAGAAAAACAAACATGACCTGGCTTGAATTATATTCTATTCTGGAAGTGAAACTTGTTTTGCAGGTAATACTCTGGTCTTTGTAATATACATCTGATGGAAAGGAGATAAGCTGAAAATGAAAATGATTTTTCCAGTATTATCTTTCTACACTGGAATCTCCATGGATGATGATTCTTAGACCTCTTCAACATATTTTAATTTCATGAACCGAAGAATTATGACCTCATATTTCTTTTTTTGACTGCTTTTTACAATTATTAGTACTTTAAAGCCATGATAAATGGTTGTAGTCTATGGAATATGCATTTTTCTCTTCAGGTTGGATGTAAATGAAACTTGCTTTACATTACCCTTAATTATCATGTAAACTTGCAGAAATAGGAGGTCCATTCCTATGCTTTTCTCTGTCAATTCCTTTTTCTTTTCTCTTTTATTATCATTGGCTGGGAAACAACCAAAAAATCGAGGACTTTGATTCGATTAAATTCATTCAATTTGAACCAATTAGTGCTCCCCTATTTTAAAGTTGCTTGCTAATTGATCAACCCTTCGAATTGTGAAATGCAAAACTTTATATGATGTGTTGATATCGGAAAAGATTGAAAGCAAAGGCAAATAGAAATGCAAAGGCATCATGCACTGAAAATGAAAGTACAACCTTCTCTTATCTTCAAAATATATGGGTTATTTTTATAGAATGATATCTTAAACTATGGGTGACATGTTGGATCTTCCTTATATTGGCTTCTTTACCTTTATTTCATTCTCTAACAATAGTGATGGCATAAAATTTTCCAACATAGGCCCGTGACAAAATTGCCTATGCATTAGCATCACTTATTTTACTTTTGATTTATTTTGTGGTGGAATTCTAAGAAATCTCTTATTCAATGTCCTTTCAACTTTCAAGTGTGTAACCCTCAACCAACCGTTGTTGCTTGTAATTCAATGTAGAAGGATATATATGCAGTGGCCGATCGAGGAAAAAAAATAAATTTTCACGGGTTGATAAAGAAAGTTGATTCGAAATTTTAAGGGGAATCAATTCAAAAAAAAAAAATACATGTGTGTCAAAAGGAAATTAAGAAAAAAAGAAAGTCAATTGACCCATTTTCTACAACGTAGATCCGCCGTTATATTTATGGGCTATCAATTGAATAAAATTATTGGATTCGTAATTAGCTATTTTCTTAGCTGTTTAGCCGTTAAATATTAGCTATTAGTGGTCAATTGTTTATATACCGGCTTAAAATAAAAGTGTTTTGATAAAAATAAGTGTTTAATTAGCTATTTAATATAAAAAGACAACAAAGAATAAGTTCATAGAGAATAAGGTAAAGACAAGTGATGGGCACAAACTTGTTTAAAAAATTATAAAACGCTAAACGTTAATAACGTTTCATGAAATACTGCATCAAACTCTAAACGTTAAAATAAATGTAATATCACCGAACACAATAATTAATTAAAATAATATTTTAATCCAATCAAAACATTAAACACTACCTCTTCTCGAATAAAGTTGAAAACTCACCTTGCACATACACACGTGTTTTAGAAACATAGAACGCTTATTTGTTCCTTATGCTATGAAGCTTAACCTCCAACAGTGACAATTAATAATCTTTATTATTTCTTATTTTAAATTTGATAACTAAAAGACAACGAGCCAAATAATTTGTTTGTCAAAAAAAAAAAAAGAAATTGAATTTATTGCAAATTTATTTTTAATGAAATATTTTCAATCATTATACTTATAAATATTATAAGGGTGTTCTTCCTATCATTTCAAAGGTCCTATTTAATTAATATAATTTTACTTCAACAGAATTCTGTATATTATTCTGCGTCCCAAAAAGGTAATCTATCTTTTTTTTTTTTTTGTTTGTCCTAATATGGTCAACTTTTCTTTTTTAAATTACAGCTAATTTTTAAATTGTCTATTATATTCTTATTACATTTTACTCTCTCCGTCCCAATAAAATAGTCCACTTTCTATTTTAACATAGATTACGGTTATTTTATTCATAAAAATGTTCTATTTTATTTATCTTAAATAATATATGAGCAATTATTATATTGAAATAATAAGTAAAAATTAATAAAAATTATTAAAAAAAAGATAAAATTTAATAAAAATATAATAAAAAAAGAGTAATCTATCTTGTTTTTTGTTTTTAGTTTGTCCCTAATAATGACAGGCGTCAACTATTTATTTTTTAAATTAACAGCTAATTTTAAATTGTCTATTATATTCTTTGATGAATTTTACTCCTCTCCGTCCCAATAAAATATCCTTTCTATTTTAACATAGATTAACGGTTATTTTATTCATAAAAAATGTTCTATTTATTTATCTTAAATATATTATGAGCAATTATTATATTGAAATAGATAATGTATTATGCTGATTGTTCTTGTTCTCGTAAAGAATTATAAAAATTATTAAAAAAAAGATAAAAATTTAAATAAAAATATTAATAAAATAATTTAAAAATTAACATGTAAAGTGAGGCGAAAAAGAAAAAATGAACTCAGTTATGATAGCAAATAAAAAAAAAACAAAAAATGAATTAACTTTGTGGCGATAGAAAAGCATAATAATTATGATGTATCTTTCCAATGAGTAAGTGCCCTATAGAATGTCGTACTTTTTTTTTTTTTTTTTTCTAATTCAACTCTAAAAAGTTAAGTCGAACAAATCAACCAATAAGGGTACTCTTAATTATTTTCTTTATCATGAGAAATCAAATTGGTTTGAAAGGGATATTTTGACACTTGCAGAGGCATGAAATTGGAGGGTTTAGGGATTTTTTTTTTTTTTTTTTCTAATTCACTCCTAAAAAGTAAGTCGAAATCAACCAATAAGGTACTCTTAATTATTTTCTTTATTCATAGAAAATCAAATGGTTTGAAAGGATATTTTGACACTTGCAGAGCATGATTGAGGGTTAGGGGTGAATACAACTTTCAAAAATCATGGGGCCAAAATTAAATAAAAGGCACAATTTTAAAGGATAAAATTTAAAAGTTTCACTTTTTTATAAGATAAATTTTGGAAAATATTTTGCATTAGGAGAAGCTGGACCACTATTAGCTCCTCTCTCTATCCATGGACTACTATAATCTTTTTGCTAAATAATATTCATTAAATTAATAATAATTTTTATAATTTAGAGATTTAAATTCAGAACTTTTTACTTTCTGTATTTTTTAAAAGATATGAAAAGATTAATCGAATTACACCTTATTAGTATGTTTTAATAAAAAAAAAAAAAAAGATCGACACTCTTTTGTTTAATTTGAGGTTGATAGGAGAAAAATCACAATTGATGAGAGAGAAAGAAAGAGAGATACATTTGTTTTCCTGATGATTTGTCGTTTTAAATAGTCTATCTCATTAAGTGGGGCCATGATGATGATAGGACATCTTTCATAAAAAAAAAAAAAATTCAAGAGAAATTTATAGAGAAAATGTCATCTCAAATTTGTATAATATGCTGGAATTTGCTGAAAATTACTGGAATCGACGGTAACAGCCATAGATTTAAAATATCAATTCTAGGTCGCTTGCGAACCAATTATCACTCTTCATCTATACGATTGGAAGATTGTGAATTTGAAATCCTACTTCCTAACCAATAAAAAAAATAATAATAAAAATAAATGGCTATAATACTTTTGAAAAAATCACTTAATAATTAATTATATGCATATGTTTATTTTAATGTCTAAATATATCCTTTAATTTTATTACTTTAATTTAATAGCGCTTCAAGTTAATTGCGATGATTTATATTATACCATATGATCATAAATTTTAGTAATATTGTATAACTTTTTATACTCTATTTGGTAAGTTGTCTTAATGGTAAGTTGTACTGCATGATTTTCTTTACGACGATGGAGTACATATTCTCTTATCTTTTGTATATAAAATATTGACTCATGGTTCTTACATTGGTCAACTATTTAATCAGTGTTTAATTAATTAATTAATTATACTAGTTGAGCCTTCAATAAAAATTAAAACATCTGAATGTGAATTAGTTGGAGTGAAAAAAATTTAGATTCTTTGAGCAAGAGTGAGGTGTTGCATCCTTGTGGATGAAGAAACTCTTCACCGAAGCAGTTCCCTTTATAGACTTAACACGATGCAAATATAATTAGACTTAAACTGTGTTCGGCGACAACTTTTTAAATAGTTTTTAGCGTTTTGACTAAACACTATTTTTTATAGTATTATGTAATTTAACATTTCAAGTAGCTTTTAGAAATTAAGGTAGTATTTTTATAAAAAGTTAACTCATATAACGCTTAGCTTTTAGCGTTTCACAAAAAGCCACTCAAACAACTAACAGCTAAATGCTCCTAAAACAACTAACAGCTGCCAAAACAACTAATGTTGTCTAACAGACCCTTAGCCAATTAGTTAAAAACATTTATAATATAAAGGTTGTGTTCGGTAATAGTTTTTTTTAATTAAATTTATCGTTTTGACAAGTTAAAACTCTAAACATTATTTTTTTATAGTGTTCGGTAACATAGCATTTGAACTAACTTTTAGATGTTAAGGTAGCATTTTATAAAAAGTTAACTCATATAATGTTTAGCTTTTACGGCTTGTTTGGCAAAATTAGCTGTTAGATATTTTAATAGCGTTTAACTGTTAACTGTTTAAATAACTTTTCATAAAACGTTAAAAGCTAAACGTTATATGGGTTAACTTTTTATAAAATCCTACTTTAACCTCTAAAAATTTATTTAAACGCTATGTTATCGAACACTATAAAAAAATAGCATTTAGCATTTTCACTAAAAATTACTTAAAAAGTTACCCTCAAACACGATTCAACATTTTATAAAAAGTTAGTAAAACAGTTAACAGTTAAAAACAACTAAAACACCAGCTACTAAAACAGTTAATGTTGTCTAACATATTAAAATAAAAATATAAAAAATAAACTTTATAAATTCAAATATTTCCACATGTCGAAATAAAAATTAAAGATGCGGTTAACCTTTTGTTGATAGATGATAACTAAATTTATTGCTCCGAATTAACATATAGGTGTCGATCCATCATTGTCTAGTACTATGTTTTACTCCTTTTGGCAAAAATGGCAAAAAGGGCCCTCTTCTTCATTGTCTACCACAAATCTAGAATAGTTAACCAACAAGCGGTTGGGTTGTATCATATCAATCGCAGTTTATCCAAACATCATCACCACCATTATCAGAAATGGTCGATTGTTTTGATTAATGGCAAACTCCAATTGGCCGTTTTTGCTTTTTTATAAAAAAGCATTTCTAGCATAAGTCGACTTCCTATTGGTAAGGAGAAAAAGAATTGGTGTGGGGATCATATTTTTATATTTCCAATTTTTATGTATGATAATAATTATATTATTATTATTTTAAATGGATGAGAAAAATTCTCATTGATAAAAATAAATAAATCATATGATTAATATGTGATTAAATATAATAATTTTACAAATTACATGCTATATTCTCCGATCAAGTTTGAAAATAATAATTTTCATAAGTAGTCAATCAAGTGCAGTTTAATTGATATTTTCAGTGATATAAGGAGTAGAAAGTCGCGAGTTTGAATCATTTAAATTACAAGAGTTTTCATAAATTTAATGAGTGAAGGAGACAATTACAAGTGTTGTAGGCCGCTGCATTATTTTGACGCATTGAATTTTTTAAAATCAAAAGATAATTTTCATAAATAGAAATGTGATGGTGTTGATAAAACAATTGATTTTTTTTTTTTTTTTTTTTTTTTTTTTTTTTTTTTTTGTGTAAAAATAATTGATTCTTCACAGAAGCACGAACGAAAGCTATATCTGGTGGTGTCAAACCACAATTCAACTTTTATATTCTCAGAAAAGCCTTACTGTCATAAATGCAATTAATTTAACTGAAATTTTCATTGTTAATCTCATTGTAAAATAATAATATTAATATTAATCTCAATTCATATTGGGATATTGAGGGTTTAAGAAATTGTCAACTGCCGATCCATGTTTGGTTAAAGAAAGACTGAGAAAACAAAAATGAAAAAAGCAATAAAGATTTGAAATTAATTGGTAAAACTCAATTTTTTATTTTTATTTTTATAATCAGGAGATGTAAATCCCTTTAAACTGTAGAATGTAAAAAATTTTTATCCTCTTATGCTTCCGAAGACTTAAACTTATATTCTCATTTTTACTTTTACCATAGCAACGACAATCCAAAATGAAGCCAGATTTAGCAAATCAAGTTCAACTGCTGAAGCCACAAATTTCAATTCCAATCAAATGTTGTCTGCATCTTTTTAGAATCATTTTTTTTTTTTTTTTTTTTTTTTGTAATTCAAAACAATTTCATGTTCTCAAGTACAATTATTCAAAACAATTTCAACTGCTGAGTCCTTTATTTTTTTTAATTACAATTATTTTCACTTTAATTTTCACACAGTTGGTTAAGTTGCTTTACCCTAATTATTTTTAATTTACAAGTTAGAAAAATGCACTTATTTTTAAAGATGGTATACTAAGCATTTTCAAACTGTTAGCTAGCAAGTTATTTTTTTTATATATACCATAATTGTCTCTAGTTTATTAAATTAAGCTTACGTCGGTGAGAAAGTGCTTTCACTAAAAATTTTCTCCATTAAATACTCACCTTTTGTTTTAAAAAACCCGAGTCTTTTCCATTCAGACTAAACACCATCATTATTAACAAGTTACTTTCTAATACAAACAAAATAAAGGAAAATGACTAGGGCTAGATGGGATGAGATGCAGTCGTGTTGCTTCTACTATATATCTTTGACAAAGCAATAATTTTGATTCTGGGATAAGGTAAAGTATATATTTCTTGTCGGGATAAGTTATAAGTTTGTTATATAAATAATAATTAAAATATGCCTGACGCATTGATTAAAGTTTTTATTTTTAATTTTTGGTTTGCCACTAAACTACAATCCATTAATCTTCAAACGCAAATTCAACAAGACAATGATTGTCGTTTCAACTTACAATTGTCAATTTTCCATCACTATGTGTTTAATTTATGTAATATACCATAGAATAATATCTCAATACAGTTAGGTGCTAACTGTAGAAGAGCATTTTCCAGAACACAATAACCTAGCTGTCTGTGCAAAAAGTTCTATTAGATATTTCAAAAGGATTAAAGCTTGAGCACAAACTTTTTTTGGCATTGTATCAAGATTTTTATTATACAACTTTTCTTGAAAAAAATATAATAGATATTCAAGATTTTTTTTGGCATTGACCGGTCTTCTTATATCTTGTGTAGAAGATATCATGTGTTAAGTTCAGGTCATTTCCAATTTAGTAAATGTTATTCAAAAGGAAAAACTACATCTGCTGGATAGCTTACAATATTATTTTGGTCAATTGGATCTCTCATGTATAAAAAAAAGTACAAATATAATTAGATATAATATGTAACAAAAATCGAAGACATCTAAGGTCTTGTTAGGACAATTTTTTATTATATAATAGTTCATGTTTTGAATAATGTTAAAATACTATTTCCATTATTTATAGTGCTCGATAGCATAAAAATTACATTACAATAATATCAGCATTTAATATTAGATTTTACTAATAGACAATTTTGTTGGTAATATTAATAAATTAACATCTGTGTATCAATAGAATTTAAAATTTTAATAAGTGACAACTCCTGCAACAAGTAATAGCTGTTAGGCATGGCCATGGGTTCATTTTGAACCAAAATCGAATCGGAACTGAACTGTATTAAATTAAAACTAGATTAGAATTGTCAGTTTAAAATTTTAAACGGAAATGGTGGTTCAAGGACTGGTTAAGGTTCAAGTGAATGTTAAAATCTGAACCTGAATCCCCTTCAACTAGCGGCTCGGATCGAAAATTTTCTATTTTTATTTTTAAAATAATAATCACTTAGCCTATTTTATACATCTCTAAAAGTTTCAATAATATTTTATTACATGATATACTTTATTTAAAATTTTTTTTAAATACTCTTTACTTTAAAAGTTAAACATCTAAAAAGTAAAATGGTAAAAAAAAGAGAATATTGTCTAAACTTATATTGTTTTTAACTTTTTTTTTTTTTACCCTTTTTAATTGTTTACTAAGTTTAAAATTATACTAAGTTTAAAATTAAATTCTTTTGAAGTATTTTTGAAAATTTTCTTATAATTTATTTAATTAATAACATTTAAACAAAATAAAGTGATAATTTATTTGTTATTTTGTAAAATTAATTATTTTATTCTTAAATGAGTATGAGCATTCTAAAATTTATTTAAAATAAAATTTATCAATATTTTTTAAACTCATATTAATATTTTTAAAAGAAAGCTGTAATGTTAGAATAGATTTAAAAAAAAAATTTTATGTCGCCCCGAAACCGTGATCAGAACCATCGGTTCATCGAAAACGTACGGAATCGGAGGCCAAAACTCAAAGACATGCCTTGTAGCTGTTGAGATATCTAACTCTACGGAGGCCAAATCTCAAAGATGCATTGACTTTTTTTTTTTTTTTTTTAAGAGCTGACTTTGATTGAGTAAATTGGAAAATGAATTTTTGCTGGTTTTTTTTTTTTTTTTTTGACATTAAAGATGCATTGACTTAATTGTAGTAAATTTGAAAATGACATTTTTCTGTTATTTGAACTAGCTATTTAAATAATAATAATAATTTCATATTTTATAACTGTGAGCGAGAATAATATACATTGTACTCTCATTTAAGCAAACAATTAAAAATTATTTAAAAAAAAAAACATAAATATGAAACAAAAATGCATACAATTTAAAAATAATTAATCTCTCATTCTTTTGGACAATGGCGGAGAACCACAAACTGTCTATTGGGCCTATCGCCTCCTTAAAAAATCCGAAAAAATAAAAATTGTTTTTTTTTTTTTGAAGTTAAAAAATAAAAATTGTTGAAGTTTAAGAAATTTTCCACTTCACCCCAATTCCAACTTTTAATTCAGTGACTTCTTTTCTTGATTGTGCTTAGCAAATATAAAAATTTTCGTTTATATATACTTTTATTTATTTATTTATTCATGGAAGATCATAATATTCTTTTATTTGATATACTTTCCATTGTTACAAGCAAAAAGGAAATGTGAAACCATTCAGTATTAATTAATTTTTTGCATATAGCAAACAAATTACAAGGGTTGGGATTCCCACAAAGTGACCTCCCACATCAACTCATTAATTCTCTACGTCAAAAGTTTACACCTTTGTTCTTTTTTAATTTTTAATCATCTAAATGAAAATAACCTCAATCTTTCTATTTTAACTTTCTTGAATGATTCTTTTGCTTTAGCTATGTAAGCAAAGCTTTGAAGGTGATTTGGATTGCATCACCGTATGGAACAAACAAGAATACATTATATATGCAAGAAAAGAACATAATAAAAGAAAAAAAGGAGAAATATATTTCTAAAAATAATTAATAATATGATGTGCAAAACATTAATTATGCATCATTTGGAAGTGGATTGATTGGTCCCCATATTATTGATTCATCTCTCTCTTTCACCCTTTTTTTTTTTTTTCTCAAAGTTTGCCAATTGATGAAAGATGCTCAATTAGGGTCATTTTGGGAGAGACAGAGCTACAACTACAAGTGATTATTGTAGCAAAGAATGAGAGACGTGACCAAAACAAATGAAAATTGTACTAATGAAATTGAGTTGCTTATTGTTGAATCTCCGGTAGCCAAACTTGCAAGCCATGAACTAGCTAGTTGTGCTTCCTGTATCGCCGCTCCGGCTGCTTCCGATGTCTCTGATTTCGCTGTCGATCCACCTTCTTCTGTCGAATCTCTTGTAGATTTTAAACTGTATGTTTCAATTCAGCATAAGTGTTTATCATCTCATAATGTGGATAAAAATTTATAAATAAGTTCATCATATAGAATTTATAAATTGAAGTTAAATCCATTATATTAATCGAGTTTATTAACTATTTACCTCGGTAAATTAGGGCAAAATGTAATGGTATAATCAGCACCGGTACACGTAAAAGTACTGGAAGCATCATCAAAAGCATAGCTATATGATTTCGGACACGCGCTTTTGAACATCTCTGAATACGTGGAGGGTTTGCAAGTTGACGGTGAATTATACGCGCCACTGCAACAGTACTCGGGATTCCCAAAAGCTTCACAAGCGCTCTTGCAAGCTGCGCCGCCTTCAACTCTAAGCTCACTCGGACACTTCCGATTAAGGTCCGTCACACATCCCGTCGACTCGCACTGGCCGGAGCCTCCATTCACTACAACTACCATCGGCAAATTATAGCCGTCGACGAGGCTAACGTCGTAGAAATCTTGTGTGCCGGAGCCGAGAGTGAATTCAGCTAAAGTGGCAGGCGGAGTAGCAGTATTCCCATTGCATTCGAGTTGGCTGGAGCCACAATCGGCGGTGGAGCAAGAGCCATGACCGGAGCTATCAAAATTACAGCCAGTTCGGGCCCAGAACCGACCGGACCAACCGGTTGGAGCTTGGAAGGAACGAGAGCTGCCTTTGGGCAGTTCAAAACCGGTGGTTTCTAGTTTGGGACTGCCAAGAATTCCAGGCCATACTGTATAATCGCATTTGTTAACAAGTGTAAACGTAGCACTTAAAGCACCTGCAAAAAAATTTATATTAAATCAACATAAATTAGTTTTATTTAATTACAGATTAATTGCAAGTTTATAACATTAAAGAGTTAAATTATTACCTTTAAAAATGAAAAGAAGAGTAAAGCTTAGGAATACAGTGCAAGAATTGGAGAAAGAACCCATCTTTTTGTGTTGGTGCAAGAACAAATTAAAGAAAATGGTTTTTAATTTCAAGAACTGTCTTGTTTTCTCTTTTAAAATTATGGATTATTAGGAAAAGGGTAGAGTCTAATAATCAATTAGGAGAGAAAAATGGTGATGGGGATAGAGCTTTTGATAGTGTAAAGAAGAGATGATCAACGAAAGAGGAAGGAGAAGAATAGGGATAGATGACAAGAAAACAAGAGTTACGAGAAAAATGTTGAGGAAGACCACCCATAAAAATTACCAAGAAAATGTTTCAAGATTATAACTCCACTCTGTCTCTCTCTTACTATATCATCTTTTTTCTCTCAGAGAGGGAGTGGATGGAAGGAGGCTGGTAAGTGAGTGGTGGTGGAGAATCTATACCATCAGCTAAGCAACTCCTCTACCTATTTATAATGAAAAAATAAAAAATAAAAAAAAAGATGACCGCCACAGACTCCGAAATAAAATTTATTTCGTACTCGAAAATGACACGGAGATACTCGTAGAAAAAAAAAATTATATTTTTTTTTATTAAACAAAAGAAGGAACAAACAATGGACACAGAGAAAAGGAAACCACTGTTCGTGTGTGAGAGAGAGTGTACACAGATTCTTTTGGCAAAGGGTCCCCTCTTAGCAATAGCAAAAGAGAGCATTTAGGAAGTAACCAGGAAAATCAGCTTTCCGAGAAATATTTTTTCCTCTCTTCTTTCTTAAATTGAGGATTGCAGTTAGCTAGCGATTAATGGCTAGCTATTGATGTCAAATAATAAGCACTATAAAAGGAAAGTCTTTCCATTAGACTTCAAAATCTAAATTTACATCAGAACTACAGTAAATTTCAATTAGATAGAGAAAGGGAGAGAATGAGAAAAGGAAAGTCTTTCCACTACATGTTTAACAGATAGTAATTTTTTTAAAATTTTTTGTTTTGCTTTTTGGAAACAAAGAGTTGTCTTCTTATGTCCTTTGTGAAGGAAGGAAAACCTTTCTCTCATTTATATATGACTGAAAAAAATTTCGCTGTCGTTGAGGAAAAGTTTTCCATTCTATTCGAACGTTCAACTACGAATTTCTTCTTCCCTTCAGAAAAAGGATAAAATTTTTTTAAACCCTTTACCCTCAGTGACAGTTACATGGAGTGGAGAAGAAAGAGTCACATGATACTGTGTTTTTGGAATCAATAAAGCTTGCTTTTCTTTTGATTCTTTCTTTTATCTAGCTTTGGAATTTCACATATACATATTTTTTTGGATATTACCAAGATGTTCTACCTCCTGTCGAACGTATAGATGAGACACTAATCCCTTTTTGGCCGGAGAACGATTATATTAAAAATCTTCTCCAAAATGCCGACTCCATAACTCGATTCTGCAATTACCACGATCGAATTTAGTACACTTTAACTATTAGACCAAGCTATAATTAATTAACTTTCATATATTTTTTAATAACATCCCTACCTACCTAGGACCAAAAAGTCTAATGTTCCAATATAACGAGTGTGCTTCAAACGAAGAGTTCCAATTCTATATTGAAACCTAAAATTTTAAATTGCAAAATTTAGAGCAATCAAAGATAGAGAAATTACTAATCAGTTCACAAGTTATAATTGTTGAGGGATTACCAGCTTCCTTAATAAGCAGTGCTCAAACAAACAAACAAATAGCTTTTAGAACTTAGAAAATTGGGTTTTCTTCTTTTGTAAGTTTGACACAAGATGAAGACTTTTGACTTTTCAAGACTAATTTCTGAAAGTTACTTAAAATTCCACAGCTTCATGAGAAAGTTCAGGTAACCCAATAACAAACAATATAAGTTAGGAACCTAGTCTGCAAGTTTTCCTTCTTTTCTTGCATTCCTTCTTAAAGTAAGGTGTGAAATCAAATTCTAATTTTTTTAGAATATATTTCATTTTATTTAGATGAATGCTTATAAGTTATAGCTATGAAAAATCACATTATGTCAAATTTCAAGTAAGCAATCATTTGAAATGATTAGTTATGTGAATTAACCCTTAATTTTAATTATTATTTCTTTATTTTTAATATTAATTTCATATAAAGATATTATTATATAATACAATAATGATAACCAAAAAAAAAAAAAAACTTTTTTCCAAAAAAAAAAAAAAACTTTTTCTTCATTGTTCCAAAAAACTTAATTTTTTATTAAAAAAAAAAAAAAACTTTTTTATTTTGTTCCAAAAAACTTAATTTTTTATTTCTTTTCCATCCCTATTTTTTAACCTCCGCTCTTGAAATTTTGTTCCACCCACTAATTTTATAAATAAAATACTAATAGTTCAACTCTAACCATGTAAATCAATTTCTTCTCTTTATTCTTTCCAAAGCAATGGGAAACTTAATTAAAATTTCTTTTCTCTTTTTGTCTCTTACACGTCTTCGGGAGAAACAATTTCAAGATCATAGAAAGAAGTTTGGGGAACAGCTATCAATTTTTCCTGTGGCCAACAACTCCACACGTATGATATTAGTCTACATGGAACTTTAACATGCAAAGGTCTCAATTTTATTTGGAACCAAAAACAAAAAATAAAAAATAAAAAATAAAACACTTTAAAGCTCAGTTCTTCACAATTCATAGTGCAACTTCCATTGAAGTTCTTTGGTCGTTTCAATTCTTTATTTATGTTCTTCTTCCTTTCAAGTGGGACACCTCTTGTCTTAGCTTTGCTTTTGTTTTAAACTAAGAATTAATATTTGTAAATAAATAAAATTTAAAATATTGGATTTATAAGAACCATATATTAAAACCCTTTAATGGAAATTTAATCTCTTTTCAACTTTCATTTGTTTTTGGTAATTTTTGAACTAAATGATAATTTAATTAGCTTTCAAGAGATAACTTATCATAGTATCTAATTGCTAAAAATCATCAATTGACCATATGAATTATTAATTTACTAGGCTTTTCTTGTGCCAAATGCCAAAGTTGGTGATGGGTTTAATTAATTAACAGCAACAACTTGAGGATTAAAAAACAAATTATGAGAGTGACAGGAGTAGCCCACGCATGTTGATTAGTAATTTTTAATTGCTAATTTGATGAGTAAGATTCAAATTAATCATATATACTATCTATATGAGATCCAACTCGGATACCATTAACGAATCGATTTAGAAATAAAGATCGATTTCATTCCTAAAGTTATTTAGCATGATAAATAAAATTAAATTTGATATTTTTAAGCTAATTTAACCCTCGATTTTATTTTAATTTTTACGAAATTAATGAATTGATTTAATTTAATATCTTTTTTTTTTATTCTTTTTTGTCCTAAAATAAAAACACTTGTATGAAAATGCCGCTTTTGATTTCGCTAAACAAGTTTCGAGGGTGAAATTGGTTTTTATTCCCAAATCTTACACAGAGTTTTTACCTACACTAATACAGGTAGTTGTGTTATTATAAATGAAGCCGAAGAATCTAACACGTGTAAATCAACTTACTTTCTAATTCTAATTAACCTCTTTTTAGTGGGCCTAAAATGGGTGTGGAGTGATGTTATAGGACAGAGACCTGGCCCATAGAAAAATACTTTTGCCATTTCCAACCTCTGAAATCATCAAAGTCTCTTTGGCTGGAAACACATACTTCAATTTTACCCATATTTATTATTGACTATATATATATATATATTAGTTTGTCAATTTTACCATATTTATTAGTGTTTTGTAGTAAAATTAGATGGGGAGTTTTTAATTTCAAGAAGGGTAATTTAGACATCAATGTGTTCCGATTATTTTTTTTAATTCTTGTGAAAAGATCAAATATTGTTATTAAAGTATAGAAGGAAGGGGTATATATAAGAAAATCAATGGATTTAGTATATAAATTTAAACTTTAAATCACAATTAATAAATTTAGTAGAAGTAAATGCTTCGAAAATCGAAGCAATAATTACATTTTTTTGTTACATTTTGAATTATTGTAATTACTAAATGAATAAAACTCGATCACTGGAATTAATATTAAGAAATCAAGACTTAGACGTTCCTCTTCTTGTTTTTAGTTTTTTGAATTCAAACAAGTGTATTTCTAGGTATTCGTTAAGATAAAAATGATATAATAATAATAATTTTTTAAAAAAACTATAAATTAGTTGTGTATAGGTCACAACCACAAGCGTGATAACTTGTTGAAATTATCACAAATTTGATTTTCAATTAATGGGTTCTTATCATTATATAAGAAGACTCTATATATATATATATATTACACACTTCCATCAACATCCATCAGAACAAGGTCCCTCTTTTATGCCATGGATGCTCCTTTACATGCGTGTAAAGGAAATTAGGATAATTTTTTTTTTTTTTTAACTTTTCTTCTTCTTTTTGGCTATCTTTTTCCTTCTCTGGGAACATCATCTCATGATCAGATGATACTCTTCTTACCCTTTTTTTTTTTCTTCTCTCTGAAAAAGAATCCAACCGTTCTTTTCTTAAAGTTATACGTACGTACATGATGGCATTGGCAACTCTAAACCCATTTCCCATTATTTTTAAAATCATTCTTTCTGAATTGGGTTAAGCTTTATGATGGATCGCATTGCTTGGATCATGTAAAATATATATATGAGTTGGCATTGTTAAACAGACAATATTGGAATGGATAGATACTGCAAAAGGAGAATGTATATATTAAATATGTAAAGTTTGTAAAAACATTTAGACATAACTCAGAAAAGATGTCAAAAAAGGGAAAATTGAGGAGGAAAATTAAGTTTTTTGTCTCATTAATCACTGGAAAAAAACAGGTTGCTATGGAGATCATATATATCATTAGTAATATTATAAAAAAAAATATTGCTAATAATCTAAAATTTAATCGTTCCATACACCATCAATATTGTATTGTAAAATAATTATATAAAGACAATGTTATTTCCGGTCCATTAAATCTTCTATGAATAAAAAAAAAAGACAATGTTTAATATTTGAAGATACGCAAACGTTGACAACAAAAACTCTTAAGGATTTTTCAATTACTCATTTTCAAAGTTGAAAGTTCTAAGTTGGAGTTTTAATGACAAAATCTTAACAGGATTTTTTCTTATAAAAATAACTTGCTTTTATTTTGGAGAATTAATAAAATTCTAAAGATTTTAGTAAAAGAAAAATGTTCAGATGAATAAATATAGTTAAAATAATTACATCTTCTCGTCTTTCAATTGTTATTTTTTTCTTTTCATTATATCTGTGTGTACATCTCTGGATATAAAATAATTTCAAATTTGATTTGATGAAGTAAAATGGATACATCATACATGAACAATAATAAAAGTAATTATTCTTTATTATTATTTTATTTTAAAGAGTGTTATGATAATAGAAATGACTCTTAAAACGCAATTACTAGATAGTAATTATAAGAAATTGTTTCCTTTTGCAATTATAGTCAAGCAAACCTTATCCATCATACATAGCAAGC